TGTTACTTTAGCTTCATTTATTTTGTAATTTAAAAATTAACATTGTAATGGAGTCATAATGTTCCAGAAAAACAAATATATTAGAAATCACCTAAAATAATGAAAATTAAAAACCATACAGATCACTGTGCTACAGAAAAACATGGAAGTAGTATTGTGTTGTACTAAATCTGAACTTAAATAAATGCATACACATGTATTTTAACATTAGACGGATACATAGACGAGTATTGCCACAGACTGTAAGAATGACAGACATGCTGAACTTTATTTTAAACTCTGGGGGGAAAACATTTAAGCTCTTTTGCAACGATGCCACACTGATTCTTTGGTATTTAGTGCAGCTCTCATCTGAAATAACTACAAAAGGAAGCAACAGAAGGAAATGTTCCAGTTTTTACCATCAACATGACAACCAGTTAATGGTAAATCATGTTTCTCTTTGTCAAACATGTTTTGTAGCAGAGACTTTAAAAAATGAGAAGAAAACAAGCGGAAGAGACGATGGAAGAGAGCAGATGGTTTTGTATTTTTCCAAGTGATTATGGACTGCATTTGGAAATGATTGGTGTCAGCTCTGAGAGAGAAGATGGAGATGTAATCACTCATTTCACACCCACCCACCTACCCACTCTCTCTCTCTCACACACACACACAGACACACACACACACACACACAAAACCAACTCCTCCACAGGCTTGAAAGCAGCCGACCACGCACCCCCACATCCACACACTTTTACAGACACACTCCGGGGCCTCTTGATGATTAGCAATCAAACAGAAAAAAATGAAGCAGATAAGTTTTTCTTTATTAATTTAAATCTGGTTGTTTTTTTACTGTCTGGAGGAGAAAGTCCGGCTTCTTGCCGGGCAGTGACTCATTCAAGACTTTAAATGTGAAGTTCGTCGTTAGAGCTCGGCTTAGAATAGTTGATATGAGTCACTTATTAAAGACATATGAAGGAATAAAGTGTGACATATTTTGTTTGTCTGTGCAAAATGTTTGTAAGCGCTGTTTAAATTTAGAGAAAATATACTTTCAATAACAGCTGAAAAACGCTCACAAAACTAGTAGTTTCCTGTTGACGTCGGTTGTTTTGAACAGTCAAATGTTACTCCACTGACCCTCTCCATGCACCATTTCCTGAGCCAAGTCCCAAAGTCCCCTAACTGTCAGTCTGTAGTTGGCAACTTTTGAAACAGATTCCCATAAATCTTCCTCCAGCCATGTTGTTCCCTCTATACTGATGTTTTAAAAGGTTACCCAGCCCATTTCTGTAACACCGTCAAACTCATGACAGCTGGAAAAAAACCCGATTCAAACTGAAGGAGCAGAGCCTGGAATCTTTTTTTATATAACTTCCAGTTCAGCTTCATCAGAGCCCACTTTCCACATTACAGACAATAGCAGTGCAGGCATTAGCGTTTTTGGACATCGCCTAACTTTCTTTTGTTGAATCCAATGCAGTTGGACCGGACACTGAATGGTCTTTAATCTTAGCATCATAGCTGGCAGTTTCAACCCAATTGTGCATTTCGGACAAGGTCAAAAAATGTTTAGTGTTTTATGCATGTTTGTTAGAATCATTATACTCTTTGCTTTGTGACTGTCAAGACTTGGGAGAACAATTTTGTAAAAAAAAACCCAAACAAAAACAAACAAATAAACACAGGGTTAATTTTAGGGTAAAGATCAGTGAAATGAGACTCTTTGGAGGAGGTGGTCTTAGTACAGCTTCAAATGAACTCCAGGGTGGTTTAATCTATGGTGTGAATGTAGACTTGTAGTCAAGACCGCCTAAACCAGGACCAAGACAATACCAAGACTACAGGGTATCGAGACATCCAACTCTATATGAATGCGATCTGACCTTGATCCGAACCAGCTACTAACAGTACGTTATAAGTTCCAGATAACCAATTATTTCTCATAGCCATGTATGCTTAGTATTCTGGGGTGCGGCAAGATACTATAGATGTGCAAAGGTATGTACAAGGCTAGCAAATAGCTGTGAAATGGATGTAAATTCTCCAATAGTCCAGAACACAGCAATTTCTTCATGTTTTTACTTTTGATGGTCCCAGTAAGTTGACTGGACATTCTCATGTGGTTTGAAGTGACACATTTTGTTTCACTTGGAGTTCACTTGGATTTTTCTCAGTGTGGAAAGAACCCAAATCTAAGGAAGAACCTAAAAGTTTGAAAACTCATCAATTGATTTGGGCCTTTGAACTGTAAGTGTGAAAACGGGCTTAGACCTCACTGGGTTTCTTTGCCAGATCCCTGGTGAAACGTGTGTCGACATGAGAGCATAATCTCTGAGGAATTCATAACAAGCAGGCATTTGCCCTGTGTCCTCCCCCCTGCATGCCTTGCCCAGTCAACACCCTTGGCTAAACCCAGCTGAGCACTTTTAATAGTGTCAACACACCTATCATTGTGAGAAAGTCCAAGTGGAACTGAATTCATGTGTGAAAATGACTAATTTACCGTGACGCTTTTGCCTGAGATGCTGCTAGTTTTGCTGAGAGCAGAGCCTGCAGCAGTGGTGGAGGGGGCTCCACTGGTGTGGTGAGCCTGCGTCACAACACCACGCTGTCAAACTGATTTCAAATTTCAAAACTGTCAAACACTTGAGGACATTTATCAGGTCTCTCATTTCCCTGTGGTGGCGCAAGTCTTTCTTCACAGTCTAATTCATAAATTTTCTACCTCTAGATTTTACAGATTTTATGAAAATTCTTGGAACTGAAAAATAAAAACAAAAAACATGTACACATGTATTCATAGCCTTTTTAGTATAATGATGCTACGAGGTTAACACCTATTTTCTGTTTCTCCCATAATTCTTTGCAGAACCTTTTACGCTCCATCAGGTTAATAGGGACACATTGCAAAAGGAACAGCCAAGTAACAAACAGGAAGCTAAAAAAAGTCTTTATGTAAATAACGCAGGGCTGGCCAACTCCAGGCCTTGATGGATGGTGTCCTGCAGGTTTTAGACGTGTCCTTGATCCAACACAGCTGAATCAAATGACTAAATGACCTCCTCAACACGTCCTGAAGTTCTCCAGATTCAGGTGTGTTGACCCAGGGGGATATCTAAAACCTGCAGGACACTGGCCCTCGAGGCCTGGAGTTGCCCACCCCTGAAATAAAGCTAAGCTGAGGTGAAAACATCACCATTTACAAAGATAAATGCAAAGTTGCTTTTTGAAGAAACCCCCCTTTACCGTGCTGAAACTGTAACCATCAAACACGACTCTTAACTTTCATTGACTGTGTCACACAACTATTTTATTACATGAAAAACATGTCTTCAAAGTGTGATTTGAAGTGGCTGATGGCACACATTTCTCACAACACACAAAAAAAGCAGAATAAACAAAAAAAGAGAGTTACTGTCCCCGTCTGTAAAGTCTTTAAGTCCAGTAGAGAAGAACAACAAAGGCTCTAAAAGCTGGATTTAAACTTTGTTCTTGCCTTCGGCAGAACTTGGTGTTGTAGGCAGACAGAAGACATCTGTCGGATCATGAAAATCTTTGTAAAGATGCAAACCCCTGTTGGATACCAGCCAGTATAAGGGATGCTATGTGACTGAATTACAGAGAAACTTCCAACAGATCTGAGGTCAGAGCTGCAGAAAGGCCAGCCACAAACCGAGCAGATCATTTCAGCAGGTACAGAGTTTTTAAGCACAATCCTCAGAGGAATACTCTGAAAACTTACCCAGCACCCACGGCAGAATCATCCACTCCACAATGGTGGGTGGGGGTCCCTGCATGTGCAGGTTGGTGCGGGCGATGTGCTGCGAGGCCAGCAGCAGTAGGAAGAGAAAGGTCAGGTAGGATGCCGTGTGACAGATGAACTTGATGAAAGGCTTCTTGATAAAACTTCCCAGAGCACTCTTTGGAGCCAACAGGTAGATCTGAGGAGGAGGGAGATGGACCGGGGGGGGGGGGGGGGAGAAAATAAGAAAGGATATGAGTAAGAGCACAAAAGAAGAAGGAGAGACAAGATAAGAGGGAGCCTGCTTTGTTATTAAATGATCTTTAATGACCAAAAAAATTAATTAAAATAAAATCAGCCGATGGAAGTGGCTTGAAGGCATAAAAACACAGGACTGAATGTCTTCAGAGACGTGACTCTCAAAGCAGAGCAACACAAACAAGAAATTTGACATTATGTAACGATTAATGAGTACAAAAAACATCATCTCAGATGCTTGTTGATGCCTTAAACTGATTTTGTCCTCTCAAATATTGTTCTTTTCCCCCTCAATTTCAGCTCAACAGGAAAAAAAAGAAGAAGATGTATGTAAGTCGATAAATGTCCATGCTCAGCCACCGTCACCTCGTGTTTCATCTGTCAGCGCTGTTATTGTTATCGCCGGCGTTATTGCCGTCATGATGCTTGTTTACTTGTTCTGCTCGTCTACTTGCTGCTGGCAACCTCGGCACACTGAGTCACGCCAGAGATGCTTTTTAACTCGAGCTGAGTCGCACGTCGACAGACTCAGAAACAATAAGGCCGAAAGAGAGCGAGAGGGAGAGAGACATGTGCTTAAATACACAATTAAAACATTAATAACTAACCCCACTGCGGCACCACTTTGATTATTGATATGTAAGCACTTTATGTTAATTATCTCACTCACATCAGCAAAAACATGCAGTGTAAATAACCTCAATTAAGACCAAATTACATGTCGGAGTCTTTGAAGACACCACAAAGGTCACAGTAATAAACGAGAGGAAAGAGGTGCAAATATTTTCCCCTCTTCTAATTATTCTTCCTTCTTAAGCTTTATAGAAAGACAGAAAAGTAAACTAACATTAAAAATTAGCTAACAGCATTCATCTAAAAAGGAGGAAAATTTTTATGGCTCCGAACTTCCAGACCAATTATTGGGTTTAACAGAGTTATGTTGAAAATGTATCCCTGAAATGTGCTGCAAACAAATGTTTTCCTTTTCTTTGGCTTTATGTGGGGAATCAGGAAACAAGAGCCAGTATGTAAGTTGACTCGTTGTCATCACTGTCATGTGACTCTTCATTTTAGAACCGCCCATCATTCCTGCCAGGCTGTGAAAAGCAGCAGCACATGGCAGTGAAGGCAAGCACCAATTTTCTTTACAAAACTGTCTTTGGCTCATCAAAGTACAAATATCTAAAGCAATTAATTCTCCTGAAGATATCAAGTTTGTTTTTCCCTGGCTGACTTGTGGTTTTGTCCCTTTGCCTCAGATCTCCTCCTTGTTTGCAGATCTATTGAGTTTCCTGCTGCTTCTTGAATGTGTCAATAAATCATTTAAAGTATTCCTGGAGTTCAGAGCAGTAACCCGGACCACCAAAGAGATATAATCTCTACAGCGTATCCTGGTTCTATCTAGGGGCCTCCCAGAACATCTTCCCCAGGCGGCTTCCTAATCAGATGCCTGAACCACCTCAACTGGCTCCCTTAACGTGGAGGAGTAGCAGCCCTACTCTGAGTTCTCCCAAATAAAAATAAACTCTTCCCCCCCTCCAGGAGGCATCAAAACCTGGAGAAAGCTCATATCTGCTGCTGATCTTGTACTTCTTCCACCTTCGATTGCTGTATGGTTGACAAACACCTGCTGCAGTCAGATAGACCCATGCAGCATGTTGGAGATTCGCCCACCTGGACCCTACAGAGTCATCAGGTGCTCATCAATTAAAGGCTCGCCCAGACCTGGATCCAACATGGAACACCATGATCCATAACCCAGGAATCGAAATGACTGTGCAGTTTTGTACAGAATTGTGTTTATTTATTTTAAATGTTTCTCAATGTCTCTAAACTCAAAGGTTTTAAAGATGAACAAAAGCAGATCTTTATCTGCATCCCAGCATTAATGACTCAGCAAGTTAACACATTGGCTCATAAGTTGGCTGAAGTTCATCTGTGTGTATTTAGTTGGCTCATATTACTGCAGTACCAACAGCATAAATAGACATTTTTCTGAAACAAAATCCTTTAAAACATAAAATGACCAGATTAAATATAGAACACAGTCCGTATGTCTGTGACATCTGTTAACTTCCAGGTCCTCTTCAAAACCTTATTTCTTATTTTCCATCATCCTTCAGTCAGTAAACCGTAACTTTGGTCTAATTACTACCTGAAAACAGTCTGAAAAAGCAGCAGTTTGGTTGCATCAGCTCTTTGACTTTATTACCCTATATTTCTTCTTTTCCCCATGTCATTGATTTCTTGTCTTTCTCCTTTCTAGGGAAATGATCATTTTGTCAGCTCCTCTTCTCATCTGTCTTTCCACTCCTCCTGCCATTTATCTCTCACCTTCTTCATTTATTTTCTCTAATTCCCTCTTCCTCCTTTGAACTTTACTGAATCTCAATATTTCCATTCCTAAATTCCTTTCCAATCTAGATTTTCATCTTCTCTTCCTGCCTTGCTTCTTGAAATCTCGATTCCCCATCTATTGTCATCTTTTTACCCACTTTCTTCAAATCTATATTCTCCATCCTCCTGCATCCTCCCATTATTCCTTTTTCCTTACCAATGAGAAGACCGGGAACAAGAGTCCGATGATAAAGCAGGTGACCAGTTTAACCACCCAGTGTCGTCTCCTCCAACCCGGGAAGCCATCATACCACAGTGTGGCCAGCAGCTGCTGGCAGTTTGGCTGTGCCACAAACTGGAAAGAGAATAACAGGGAGAGGAAATGCAGTTTAGTATATGTGAAAAAGCCCTGAACAGCCCTTTTAACCCTTTAAGACCTACCATAGAACCAAGTCCGCCAGAGCTTATATTATATTTTTACATGTTGTAGTGCCATTTATGGGAACATTTCAAGTTGATATACATCAATACAACCATTATAGCCCAAATTTTAATAATATGTATGCATTAAGTGCATAGTAATTACATAAATTTCTTTAACATATATTGCTAGAAATTTAAGAGGCTTATCCCTCAAAACTGTAAATACAAAAAAGTTGCACAAAATAGTTTCTCACCACAGGAAATTTATTTTGAGTGCCTTCATAGTTTTATTTTTGAAATACACAGATTTTTATATACTGCAGGAAAAACAAAAATAAATATTACAGTGCAAATTTGCAAAAAAGCAGCATGTGCATCAAAATAAACTATTTCCAGCAGTGCAATTTGAGTCCTAAGCATCCCAGAAACGACACAGAAAGTCATAAAGTCAAACATAACTTTTAAAAACACCAGTACAGGCTTATGAGGCCCTGATGGTAAAAAAACTACATTTCCGCGAAAATGATATCACTTCCGGTCTCGGGCAGGTAATGGCGGACATGCGATAGTTCGCGCTGACATCTATTCCAACCTAGGAAGTGTTACGAACAACTGATCGGATCGGCAAAGCGTGTTTCTGGAATATTATGTTTTTGTTGCTGCAAGCGCTTTTTATGCAGTTTTTGCAAAGCTATATGTGGAAGGAAACTGTGACCTAGGACAAGCTGATGGCATAAGATGTAAGTACAACTCCTCAGGTTTCATATGCAAAAAAAATTATTGCGCTAGCTTATGCGGTCGCAGTTCTACAGGCTTTTAAAAGTAGTTGCGCAAAACGGAGCGTGCCCGCTCTGACCGGTTTTAATGGGTTAAACATAGTTCATTAATCATACAGAGACACCGCTTGTATAAAAACAGCTTTCACATTACTACACAGAGTTCACATTACTACTTCCCAAGTCTCATCAGGTTACACTTTAAAAAAATGTGATCACCCTGACTGCTTGATAAGTTCATGGAAACATTTTCCTCTGACTGCTCAGTGGTGTTTATTTGATGCTGATGCCATTACCAAATATTATCTCCTCCTTCTTCACTTTATTCATTTTTTCTTAACTCAAGGAGGCTGCGGCCCTTTCATCTTTTCTCCCTCTTCTATCATTCCATCTATATGTAATTAAATCATTTTGTTATTCACAGTCACACATTCCCGATAGAGTAAAACATGAGTGGCTCTTCGCGTGTCCTTTATTAGTAGTAGTCGGATATCAGAGTGAACTGTCATCTTGTTAAAGTCCATTTCCATCTCGACTGTGACATTGACTCCTCTGACTGATTTCTACTGGGGTTGGGATTTGATTTCCCCTAACCAATCACAAAAGAACAAGGTATCCACCTGAAGCTAATGTGATTAAACTCGACACTGCTGCACAGCAATGCAAACATACTGTTTTCCCCCAGGGATTTAAAAGTAAAGAGCAAAGTACAGTAAAAAGAAAAATAGGTCTTCTGGTAAACACGTAGGAGATAACATTTGCAGATAATTTTCCAGGGTTTTTCTTATCTTGTTGTATCCACTGGTGTATCAGTGGATTAAGCCAGGCACAGGAATTAATTAATAACTGAAACCTTTTAAGACTGAATACCGGACAGTTAAAGACACTCAAACAGACCAGACTCACGTCGTTGACAGCCAGAGAGCAGAAAAAAAAATCTGAACAACTGAGTCATTCAGCTACACAACATACATTCATACAGACGTGGCAGAAGCTCAAACTTAGGCATACAGACATAGCCAAGAAGTTTAAACTGAGAATCAGAATGAATAAGAAAAGTCATTCTGAATGCACAACATGTCAAACCTTGAGGCAAATGTACTGCAGCAGGAGAAGACCACACCGGGCGTCACAGCTAAAATAGGAAACGGAGGGCACAGTTCATCCAGGCTCAACAAAAATGGACAATAAGAGTTTGGTCTGGTCTGATGAGTCTCGATTTCTGCTGTGACATTCAGGTAGTAGGATCACAATTTTGTGTAAACAACATGATAGCATGGATCAATCCTGCTTTGTCTGAACACCATTATACCACCAGGGTGCTGCAGGTGGTGTCGTGGTGTTGGGGATGTTTTCTTGGCACAACTGGATTTTTTGTAACTACCACACCCTACCCCAGTTGTTGCTGCCCATGTCCATCCCTTTGCTACCACAGTGTATGCATCCACTGATGGTTTCTTCCAGCAGGATAGCACACCATGTCACAAAGCTCAAATAATCTCAAACCGGTTTCTTGAACAGTAGAAGCCTTCTTCAAAAAAGTCCTGTTACATTCAAAAATAAAAGCCCCAGCTACTTTTTAAGGAATACACACACACACACACACACACACACACACACACA